GCGGTTTGTTTAAAACAAAACACTTGCCTATCTGATAGCAATCATGGACTATGTTTTCGATTCCATAAAAGTTTACCACTTCATTTCACTGACAAGCACAACATGCCCCGATCCGCCAACCCCTATGCTCTCTGTCTGTATCTCTTATCTTTGCCGAAAGCAAGAGAAAAACTTAAAAAATTTAAAGACCAAAAAGAAGAGGAAGAAGACGGCACTATCTGTGCCGAGCTGAGTTTTCTATAAATATATTTTTTTTGGGTTGGGTTTGGAACTTTTAGTGGCTTATCAGTGCCATCTTTATTGTGCCAAGGCGACGTAAGTGAATGTTCCTTACAAAAGCTGTGCAATTGAATAGCACAAGAATAAGAAGATGAAGTAGGGGCGGAGTGACAAGAAGAAGAAGAAGCAGAAGTATAAGCAGTGACTAAAACTATGCCACACTGCTGCTGCTGCTCGAGAAATCAGGCACGTCGCAGGACTCGAAATGTGGTTTGAATAATGTGCGAGTGCGATAAAAAAAAAATATAAAGGAAAAAGCTTACAGGAAAATGAGCGAGAAAAGAGACGTCAGCTTGTGTGGCAAGTGGCAAGTTAAGATGGCACACAAATTAACGGTTCAATAGAACACACACAGCATCTCTCTACCCAGAGAATGGGGTCGTCTGTGTATGTGTGTGTGTGTGTGTGGCAGCTTAAACCAGAGACAGAAATGATGTCGTGCGTGCCCAAACTATGCACTGTCATTAAATCTAACGAGCATCTTGGGTTTTACATTCGTTTCGGTTAAGGACAGGCAGGGGAAAGGGAAAGGGACGAGGTTCATGCAAAATAACTATAATTCCTACACACACAGAGAGAGAAAGAGAGACCGAGCGAATTAGATTAGAGAATCTGAACTAATGTTTTGACAGGCTGCCTCGCCAACTTGGCTTATATGCTTAAGCTCAGGCGCAGGCATTATACATTAGTTTTAGCTTAATTACATCTATATATATCCATATATCTATATATATATATAGCTTACTGCACCTTCTTCTTCTTAAACAATGGCAAGTTCTAGGCAGGCACTGATTTATGGGCCAATTCAAAATGGCAAACATTTAAATTGATTCAAGTTTAGCCATCAAATAGCCAGAATCAACAAAGAAATGGATAATAAACAGTGGATTGAGTTGGGCTGGTTGAGATAAAAAAAAAGGGAAAACTTGGTCACAAATGCTTCCTCCATCCTTTGGCAAGCGTTGTCTCACTCTCTTTCTCAATCTTTCTCCCTTACGCGTCGATTTCAATTGTGCTCAAAAGCTTAAGAGCAAATCGATTCTGAGCGACACACGCTGCCTGTAAGCCCCTCTCTCTCTAGGGGCAGCTTTAAAACAAGCGTCACGTATACAGTTACGGTCAAGATTTTAGTTGTGCTGTTTCATAAAATCTGTGATATATATGCAGACATCATATCTATTAGCATTTTCCCCATCTTATAATGCTTTCCTTTCTTTAGGATTGATTGATTGTATTCAAATAAAATTTCCGTAATTTCTTAACTATATTTAACATGTTTCTTTAACATTTTCCAAAACATAATATATATCCAAACATCATTTTAATTACAATTAAACCATTTTCCAAAAGATACTATTATCTTGACCGCAGCTGTAAATTATATTTACACACTGAAATAAGTTCCTTTAAATGTACCAGGGGAACAGAAGTAACATTTAATTTTGTGTACATTACGCAAGCATTACTTAAAGTGAGCAATATTTGATTTTGTTAAGTAAAATGTGTTGTTTTAGATTTGTGTGCTCAAAATTGCGTCAGTGCCAGTGTAGAGCATTGAAATTGCTGCTTGATATTGGATATTAGCGGGGCTACTTTATGTGTAGACATTAGCGCACATGTTGTTGATAACTTGATTGTTGGATTGTTGATTGGCTGTTACCAATACAAAGTTTTGTTCTGGCCATAACAGATGGTTGGGCATCTATTAAAGCTGCGCATTACATGCAAAACAACTTAGCCAAACCGGTAACCGATAAAGCAGCTCTGCTCAACACTGCTCTAAGTTGCCCGCCCACTTCAAAGAAAAAACCAGAGAGCAGATAGGAAAGAAAGACTGAGAAAAAACAACTACCTCCAAGCGCTTAGTGGCGATTAATTTGATTAGCAAGCGGAAACCAAAGTCAATACCAAAATCAAGACCAAAACCTGGACAAGAAATTGGCCCACACGCACAGCGTGGCTTGCAACTGTATTATTGATTGATTGACTGACTGACTGGACTGACTGACTGATGATATATGCGTACTACTTGTAGTTAAGGCATGTGAGCAATTCAACACAAAGAGTTTTTTATGACCACTCATCATCAATTTATGACAAGTGTAAAAATATTGTAAAACAAAGATAGACTTCTAATCAAACAGACGATAACGATGACGACCGATAAAAGAGTACCGATACTCTTGCTGCATCTCTCTCTCTCTCTCTATATATATATATATATATATATATATATATATTATTATATATATATATATATATATTATTATATATATATATAATACTTATACTTATCTCTCTCTATAAAATGTGAAAGTAATGCGCAATCAACAGATATTTGTTATGATTTTGCCTTGCAATCGAAAATTGCCACTCGTAAGCTCCGTAGCACCTAGAAGATGACCTGCCAGTGAGTGGCAAATATTTATGCGATGAATACACTCAACAACGGTACCCAGACCCACTCACGCACACTCTCAAAAATAACTTGGGGAATTGCGTGCGAGCGAGCAGCTTGTTTACATATAGCGCGCTATATATATTTATATATATAGTAGCGATAAGATATGAGCAGCCAGCTGATGCGTACCAGATTAAGATCAATTACGCTCTAATCGCATTATAAGTATTTTTGAACATGTCAGACTATTTTTAAGCAATGTGATTCTTGAGTACTCTACAAAATATGCTTCATTCAGCAGAAAAATCGAAACTGAAAAAGTCTCTTGGTTTTTAGAAATCATTTCTTAATATAAGAAAAACAGAATGTCTTGACTTCTTTTTGCTACATTTTAGAAAAATCGAATATGGCATTTAGAGAACAAAAACCGTAGATTTTAGAAAGACATAGAAACTTTCGTTTTAGTAATATACTTTTTGAATAATAAGTGTGGTGACTTTCAATGCGTTTCTTTTTCTAAGTGTAGTAGCAGTTGTATTTCACAATATCTCAAAAATTCGCCTGACTCACAAACGGGAAGAAATATTTTAGTACATTAAGATGACACAGAAATTTGTCACATCCGTGAAATGCTAAGTAAAAAGTAAATTATTCACGAATGTTAAACGAATTTAGCTAAACTTTAGAATTGATTTGGGAAAGTGCAGATAACAAATCACAAGTTGTACTTTGGTAGAACTCAACCCAATTAAATAAGTCTCACGCTATTCGCATGTCCGAAACATGGCATGCTCTGCATGTGCCACACTCACAACAGAGACTCACACTCAACTCGAGAGACACTCGCGAGTAGGACTCATTTAGCTGGACACCCACATGTGTTATGCAAAACAAGCAGCGTTCAACTCTGCATTTGTAATTGTTTGTGTCTATCTACTGTGGTGCATGCCACATACACTTGACACCAGAAACATATGCAACGCCCACAACTCTTGGCTTTTGTTTTCTTATTAGTTGGAGGTCGTTTGTTTCATTTCGGCCAAAACATTTTGACTGCTTTTTTCCGGTCATTGGTATTGAATTGGGTGTGGAGCAATGCTGTAGCTTTGAGCTTTGTCAATGTTTTGGCAACGAATTTGTTAAACAAATTGTTATTAAATTGAGCCATGTTCAGCAGTTGATTGGCCATTGTGTCAAGTTAATTGCAAAAGCCCAAGTTTAAAGCAAACAGCTGAAGAGAACTTCACTGCGCCGGTCGAGCCACAAATCCGCAGCCCTAAAAACAAGTTTGGGTTTTTCATTTTCCAATTTTTTTTTGCATAGTTTTTCTTTGTTTTCTGCTTTGCTGTTTGATTGGTTTTTTTTCCCCTGTTTTGTTGTTTTTTGGGACAGACAGACTGTCATTCAATTGTCAATATCTGCGAGACTTGATCGTCACGACTTGCTGCTCGGCAGTCGGAAATTGGCTTTGCATTGAACTTCAATTGAAATTGCACGCTGGCACCCCTGCTGCTTGCTGCTTGCAACTTGTTTTTGGGTGCCATTTGGGCGTGCAAGGGGCGTGGCTGCCAAAGCACGTGGCTGCAGCTGCAAGGCCCAGCCTGCAACATATTATTTCAATTGAAAGTTCAAATATACATAAAAATAAAATAAAATGAAATCTAATTAATTAAATCGAAATCGGAATTGCAATTTTCTTTTCTGGCAGTGAAAAGAAAAAAATGAAGGCATGATATTTGAAAATCAAAAAATCAAAATTGATAAATTATTATATTTTATAATTTAGAACCGTTCTCAATGCTATTTTTGGTTCTCATTTTAGCTTGAATTTCGACATAGAGATACGATTCCCGATTTAAATGCAGTATTAATATAAGGGTCAAACCATGACTAAGATATCTGCTCACCATTGACAAAATTATGATAGTAGAAAGCTTAGAACCGTTCCAGGGAGTATTTCTTAGGACAGAATGTAACATGATTTTCGAGCCCAAAACTAACTACCAACATTAAATGTAGAAAATGTAGATATCAAACCATGCAAAAAAAAAGCCCTGGTTTTTAGTTTTAGTTTAGTTTTTGCATATTTATCGTTGTGATACATTTTAACCTCTATCTAAACTCGATTTCTTTGAAATTGAGATTTCTTCGAATTGGATTTATAGATTTAAGCAAATTATCAATTTAACTGATAGATTTAGCTTGAATTCAAGCAAACACTGCCTTAGTTAGCATTTATTTAATTTGCAGACCTTTTGTAAATGCCGTAGACATATATTTAGATAAGAATATATTTAGCGATAAGAATGTTACGAAAGTGCTGTTACTTCTTCAGCCTGAAGACGGGCACATTTGCCATAGCACTGACAACGACTCTAATCTATGGCGCAACTGTGGCAGTTATGGCCCTCTTTGTGGCAGGTGTTCTGCCAGGTAAGCGATTTGGATTTTGTGCCCGACTATAACTATCTACAGCTGATTACTATGTATATGTAGCGGAACTGTCCAACAGATTCTTTGAAAGGGATGTACAACTTCGTGTGCTGGGTGCTGCCATAATACTGTTGATAAGCGCTCTCTTGCTGGTCTATGGCGTCATAATGGTAAGAGGCAGATTGGCATATTATTAGGGATAAGCGCTCTATCTTGAACTGTAACTGTAACTGCCTCTAGGAAATACCCTTTTTTCGTACTTCCCTGGCTGCTTTTCGTTTGCACTCACATCTTTGCCATGATTGTGACATTCGTTCTGATTGTGTGTTACGATGCACCCATTTTTCTGATCACAGTCACAGCTATTAGTTTGGGTAAGTTATCTCACAATGGACTCTGGAAGCATATACACCCAGAAAAAAAGTCAATATACTCGCGAACCAAGGTTAAAAAATTTACGTTTCTTCAAATTAAATTATACAAATTTTATGAACTATGAACTTAAATAACATAACAAATCCAGGGTTCTAGAAATATAATTTCTTGAAGCTTAAATATTTAAATATTCTTCCTTTTGCAGTTGTGTACTTGTACGTTTGGCTGGTTGTCTTGTCCTTTTTGCTAGACATGTACGATTAGCATTTCTCGACGTGTGCTTAGCAAACACAATCAAATTCGTAGATGTAGTTGTTGTAGTATTGATTTTAATTGTGAATTATGCTCTTTCGTCGCTGCTGCTATTGTTTACCACTTCGCACTGGCTGCATAATCATTGGCATTGTGTTCATCTGTTTATTTCTCACCGAGATGATCATCCATGGCCAATCGGCCATTTTCATATGTAAGTGGACGCGACTTGAACTATATATGGATTATATATATATATATATATACATATATCGCATTGCAGATTATAAGCCGAGGCCCTGGGATTATGTGCAGGGCATCATACTGTCATGGGGCATCGTTGCATCCATGTTATTAATCTATGGCTCCTACAAGGTGAGTGAGTATCTCTTATCCCAATATCTGACTAATCACAATTCTATATATCTATATCTATATTCGACCAGGAAAACCGTTGTCTACATTACTTTTGGTTACTCACATTTTTAATAATACTTCTCTTATACGTGGCAATGAGCACAGTGGACTTTTATCTTTTCAAAATGAAACTCGTAATTCTTATCGGTCAAATAGGGATTGAACGTAAGTTTTTACAGCATTCTATTATAAATATTGTCTTTTTTAGTTGTAAATCTTTCCAAAGTGATAATAATCTATTCATTGATGATTGTGCATTCCAACTACAAGGAACTGAAAGAAACTCAAACAGCGACCCTGCCACTTTGACTAAATTCTCCAATCGAAGTCGACATTTTCCAAATTGTTATTATTCATTTTTTTTTTGTCTCGACTGTGTGTGTTTAGTCATCTTACTCAAATGTGTTAAGCCAACAGAAAAAAAGAAAAAACTATCTTTCATTAATATTTCAAGTTAATACCCAAATTTCGTAAGAGCTCCTCTTCCTCCTGCTGACTGACAACAATTATAATAATAATGGCCTGTCGCTGCAAGTACTTCATAAAGATCCTCAACAAATGCTGTTTCTGTTTCTCGCTCCGTACGGGCACATTGCTGTTGGGCTGCATATTTCTTACGTGGTTCGTCTATTTGTGTCTGGGTAGCGCCTTCCTCATGGAGTGCATCTTCCCCAACGAATACCAGCGGGAGGTTTACGGCCCACCGGCCGCACCCAAGACAACAATGGTCTTCTCATTCTTTGGCATCATTGCGGCTGCAATGGTCTGCATTGGTGTGCATAATGTGAGTACTTTCAAAAAAACATCATATCTAACACTACACTATAAAAAACCATATTTAATTGGGTTTATCTATAGAATAACGAACTGTTGTTTGTGCCATTTCTGGTGCTGACGCCATTCTACATCCTGGCACACATTCTCGCCATGATTGTCTACGCCTTTGTTTGGGTCATAGTCATTCTCTTCGTCATCACCATACGTAGGTTTAAGTAGTCCACTAATTTAAGTGTTATGTTCTAACTAATACTCCCCACTCTGATAGTTGTCATGATATATGCCTGGATGGTCATCTTCTCATATTTCACCGAGCTGCACTATGCCTTCGATGATGAGCAACCTCAACACACCACCTACATCTGAGAGAATCGTGGATTGATGATAAATTCTCAAAATGTTATTTACTTGATTATTTAAATTTTAGCTGCCATACAAATTGTGAATGTGAATAAAAGAAAGAGCGAATCTGACTATATATTAAGAGATATTAACTTGAGATATAGAGAGTATTGAATACTTTTTAGTAATAAAATGTTCTCCGTCGACTGTATCCTTAAATTGCGGATGGTTTTTGAGAATTTTGGGTTGTGAGATATGTGGTTTTTATCGATTTCTAATTATCGATTTTATTGATTTCTTAGCTTGAACAGTTTAAGAAATTCTACGCTTAATTTAAGAAAAGATAAGCCCCGGATTTTAATGAGAGACAATCTTGTATTTTGCAATATATTTGCAATCGATATTTTTCCCGAGTGTAAAATGGATGTGATTGAGGACTATTTATAGGGCCTTATAGTTAACAATGGGACAAATACACAATTATCTGGCTGTCATGCGTGATGCAGTCATGCAGATGGATTCAGTTGCTTTTTAATAGGGGCGAAAGTAATGGGAGAATGAATGGTGGGGGTGCGACAGAACTCACCTTTGGCAGTGAGGCGAGCACCTGCTGTTTCACATCCCAGACGAGACGCTCCGATGGGAACTGGAGACACTTGTAGACATTCAGCTCGGGCACATGAATGCGCACCAGAAGCCAACCATCTCGGGGCTCTGGCGGCGGCTCATCGTCAAATGCACCCGGCCCGGACGTGTTGTCCATGTTGGCCGGGTTCTGTTTGACTTTGGGCGTGGGTGGGTGATACGTCGTAATTTTGACGGCTTTTTCCGCGTCAGCGTCACAGTGAAGGAGTCAAAATAAAATATAGAAGAAAAGAGCAACTTGACTTCAGTTGCGTCTTTCTTACACTCGCTTTTTGTTACTGTTTCGTAATGTTTCTTTTTGTTTTTGTTTTGTATTATTATTGTTATTATTCGTTGGTTTTTCTTTTTTCAAGTGTATATTCTTGTCGCAATTATTTGATTGAGCTGGCTGCTGTGTTTCCCATTAGCTGAAAAGCGTTTTGATTGCACATTATATCGTTGTTATGGGTTTTCCTTTCATTAGGCAGCTTATCAATTGGAATGTGCATCATGCTGCAATCGAAAAAGAAAAAGAGAGAAAGATTAATTACATAATATGCTAGTGGAGTAGTTTCCCACAATCTTAAGCTGTGCGTGTGCAACGGAGTTGTCAAATGATAGATTTAATTTGTAAATTGGTTTACTTTTTTACCCTCCTCCCACTCTATCAGTCTGTCTGTCAGTCAGCCAGTCAATCGAAGGCTGTCATTGTGTCAGTTGCACAGACACTTCCCCATAAGCTCTATAAATTGTCAAGGCGGGCAAAAGGCGAACACATTGAAAACATTTACTGTGGCAACAGCAACAGTTGTTGTTGTTGTTGAGTACACACTGATATTGACATTTTATGGCCGCTGTTGTTGCAGTTGCAGTTGCAGCCAGTTGCAATTATTCACAAATTAAATTCACACGCTAACCTCAAAAGCGAAAAGAAAAAAGACAACAAAAAACAAGACTGGGAGGCTGTTTTTTTATGGAAAAATGTTTGCCAAGTTGCAGCAAGCGTAAAGAGAATGGAGATTGGTAGTGGTGAGGGGAGTGAGGGGTTGTGTCATTTAATGTCGACCGTGTTGAATGCAAGCACTAATTGATGCACCAGTATTTAGTACTAAAGAGCCGGCGAGTGGCAGATTAATTGCTCAATTGATTAACTGGCACAACACACAAAGTGATAGTTCATTGGGTCACCAAAGTGAAAGAAAGAAAATCAAAAGAGAGACAGAGAGAGATGGAAAAAGAAGTTAGAGTGATAGACTGAGAGATACTCCACCCCCCAGTAGACTAGCGGATAGTAATTTTGGCCATATGTAAATACCTTTTGTTTAACAAAATCTGTGTTTCTAAACCGATTTTAATGAAATACTTACAGTTGATCAAAAATATATCTGGATATATTTTGATTCCATTTGAAATGTATATTTATAATACATATAATATTAACATATATGGGCCTATTTATATATATAATATATAATTATATAATATACATTTTTAAGATCGACTTTTCATCCAGACACAGAGCTGCATGGCTAAATCGCATCGTATCTTAATGCTGATCAAGAATGTATATACACTATGGGATCTTCGATACCTTCCCACAACTTTATTATGCCCTCTTTCCCATTTCTAATGAGTGAACATCGCGTAGAGCAAATCGCTTAAGCTGAATACGCTCTTAAATTGTAGTTAAGTACACTCGAGAGCGCAACTCACCTTGACAAGAATTTTAAAAGCCAACTAGAACAAACCAAGTGAACTATTATCTGGTACGCTTATCAACAAAAACTTTAGATAGTTCCACTCTACTTATTCCCACACCAGTGTTTAAGAACCAACAAGTAGAAAGAACATTTTTGAAAGTGAAGAATGGGAAATGCAAACAAACATACATAAAATACTTTTAAATTGACTTAGTTCAGTGCCCTCAAAAACAAAAAAAAAACATAAGAATGACAATTGAATAGATGTCATGGTCAAGAAACAGTGTAAACCTTAACGAAATACATAAATTAAATAAACATATATACATTTAAACAAGTGGACTGACAACAAAAGCCGTTCACATTGGCAACCCACCCACAACCCACTAAAATAAAAAGGTCAAGTGAAAATTAAGAAATTAACAAACAGCTCAACGACGACAACGGTTCCAACTTTTATTTGGAGTGATAAGCCGCGAAGAATAAGTTTAAAATGTGCCCAAGGCATTCGCCAATTGATATGGCCGTTAATGAGCTGGCTGGCCAAGAGATTACCCACTCTCCTGAGCTGATAAAAACAACGGACGTCCAATTCTCGGCGCCTAATTAAAAATAACAAAATTCTAATCAAGCATATGTCACGTAGATAGAAGTCACTGAACTGAACTAAAAGCGAACATTATCATTTACTTCAGATTTTATTATCAGGTGTTATACAGTGGAAGAAATGGAATAAAGTTTAGTGCCAGCGACTTTTGTAAATTTTAATTGAATTGCATTTTCAGCGTGGCTTCCTTTCAGCGATTTGCGTACACCAAAGTTTTTATGGCCAATTGCTATACCCTGTACTCATGAAAAATGGCTAGAATAGGGTATAATACAGCTGTGCTAAAGTATGGAACAGGCAGAGATATATATATTCTTGATCAGCATGAAAAGTCGAGTTGATCTAAGCATGTCTCTCTGTCTATCGTTAGAAGCAACTGTTTCGCGTATATCGTTAGCAATAAAAGACACAATTGTTAATATCAATTCCTGTACCGTGTCAGTCAATACAGGGTATCTGCTAGTCTACCTCAACCGACTAGCGGTCGCTTGGTGATGGTGATTGGAAAAGTTGCTAAGCGTGCATTTCTTTGGCTTTCTTTCTCTCACTCTCTCTCTATCTCGCTCTTCGATCTTGCTCTCTTCGCAGTTGTAAAGTACGCTGATTTGTTAATAGCGCTGAAGCAACAACTCAATTATCACAATTATGGTGCGAACCTGCCACACGAAACAATAATAAACAACAATAAGCAAGCAACCGCAATAGTTTGCCACAATTTGCAGGCCAAACTAAGTGCTGCGATTTTTCACTTAAATGCGAATAATCGTTTGGGTTTCATTGCGCACCCCTTTCTTGATTGAAAAATTATGCTTGACCTTTGCGCCGACTGCTGGGCAAATCAAAATTTATGTTGCCCCCAACACATCCCAAGTCGCCCAATTGTTTAGCATATTACCTGACAGCTGTCAGTTGTGTATGTGTGTGTGTGAGTGTTTGTGTGTTTGTCTGTGAAAGCTGTCAAAGCAACAATGTCGTTCAACATCAATTCACGCCCTCGCCCTCAATCCAGCTGGCAGTTATCTGCTCTTCCCTCACTTCCCCCATCAGGAGTTCCGGTATTAGCTACTGTAATCCATTCATATTCCAGAGGGGAGCAGACAGGTCAATTTCTATAGCTCTTCATGTTTATATCTATCTCTTTCTGCACTCAGAAAAAAAATTAATTTCGTAGTAAATATACAACTTCTAAAAAGTGGAAATACAAATTTTGATTCTTGGAAAAAATCCTTTCTCCAATTCAGAGACAAGTAAGGAAACTCAGTTTTACGGGGTGTATAGCTCTCTATCTCTAAAATCACTATCTCTTTCTATAGTCTGTATCCAAAAGTTGACTACATTTAAGCTTCCTTTCTGTTGTCAAGTCTTATTTTTTTTGACATAGCTTTCAGCTCAGAGGTTACAACATAGTTGTTAACTTGGAGTCTGGTTGTAAAATACACAAGTTTCGACAGGCGCTTATCCTTCTCCCTGTCCTCTCTCTCCCCACCCCATCTCTCTCGCTCTTTCACCATGTCTGACAGTTGTGCTCAAGTATTTGTGACACTTTCCGACAACCGTCAAAATCGGCCAGAAAAAAAGGTTTTTGAAGAATCTGACAAGGAGCAGAGAGTGTCAGAGAAGTGGCTGCAGTGTCCCACAAAATTGCAACATTCAGCTGCATATGCTTTACGGCTTAAATGTGCCACATCGAATTCATTTTTTTTAGCATACCAAAAGTGACTTGAGTCGACTTGGCTGGACAGTAACCCCCAAGGGGTTTCACTGTACTGTGTGATTTGTGGGTCAGTATGCTGACTAAATGTCACTTAGTTGCAGCAGCACTCGTGTGTTCACTCATGCAGCACTCGCAAATATATAAAGGCAAAAACGAATATGCTGTTTGTATTCATGAATATTTTACATTTAAAGCAAATTACTTTTGTCATTTTAATGGCCGTGCTTAAACTGAGGCATACACGCCGATTTTTGCTGATGCCAGCAGCAACTAACCAGCTGCAGTTTTTTATTGGTCTGTGTGTGTGTGTGTGTGTGTGAGTGTGTGGTAGCAACCACCACCAATCTTGTCGGATGCTGCAAATTATTTGCACTGGCAACGCAGTGCACCAAATTGACAACAAGCAACTGCACAACAAGGCCGACACGCCCCAAAACTCCGCTTTCCCCATCCCACAAGCCTCCCTCACTTCACACCCACCCACTCACTCACAAGGACAACTTAATAAATGTCTAGCTATTTTTCTTAAGCAGTCGCACAGTGCAACTAAATAATTCAACATAATATTTCAAACCTTTTTTAGCCCACTTGCAAAACGCAACTGGTTTAAAGATAATTAATGTGGATCTTCTGTTACAATTCCGATACACACATTCCCTGGCTCAGCTTCTATATTATAAAGCTCAAATGGATAAAAATAAGCTCAGTTTGTTTTCTTAGTTTGAACCTGTCTTTGGATTCTAACTATTGTCTGCATTATGTTGTTCCACTGTGCGTTTGCCGCTTTGCAAATCGAATCGCCATTTTGTTTGCATGGTTCTTAGTGCACCGGAAACGGAAATGCGCACATCTTTTTATTAGATAATGGGCTGTTGGCCAAAGAAGACAGTTCTTGAGGCTTGAGTGTATCTGGAAACTGAAAACTAAATTCTAGAAAAGCGCACTTTAATTAAATGATAAAATAGATGATAAATGATAAATAATTTAATGATGCAGCTGAACTGAACCCAAGTTCAGCCTTTTACTTTTATTTATTAAGAACTTAAAATGTATAATAGAGTAAAAAATTAAGAATTTAATTAAAATATAAAGAATAAAACAGATTTTATTATAAATTTGGCTGTATCAAAATGTAAAACAATCTAACATTTACTGCAAGTACAGGAAGACCCAGAAAAAATCACAGAAAAGGGGCTAGTGGGTTAATAATAAGATGGGTAAAAATTTAAGAAAAGGGAAGAAGTTTGTTGCCGTCTTTCTTGTTGCTGTCAGTTTGTTAGTTGCTGAGGACATTTATGTCTGTTGTGTGGTGCATAAACAACCAAGTAGCGCAAAAACATGTCGCTCAAGTTAATGGCAATGTCAAAGTTTCTTGGCTAATTTATTTCACTATTTTTTCGTGTGCTTTTATTCAAGGCAGCCAAGTAGAAGAAATAGAAGAAGCAAAGGAAGCAACAGCAACAACTACGACAACAGCAGCAGCAGCCCAAGAACAACAAACAAATATAAAAGAGGCAAAAAAAATAAATACAAAAAATAAAGTATAAAGAAACCGAAAACTTGTTTTCCAGTCACGTTCATTTTCAATCAAGTGGCATCATTATATGCCAAACAAACTGCACAATTGTGTGGAGGGGAGAGGAGCGTGAAGACTAATACTATAAGAAAATTAACTCTGACCCAGGCCGGCCACACACACAACACACACGTGTGTAACCCCCTTAACCCCTTTTTTTCATATGTGGTTCTTTGTCTAGATGAAGAGTATGGGGGAATGGGGAGAGGAGGAATTGCCTGAATGGTCATTGAATACCGAGGAACCACGGCGAATTACGCTAAAATCAAACTCGCAAAAGAAACCACATCCAACTTCCTGCGTTCTGAGATCAGGCACACAAAAAAAAATCGAAATAAACTTTTCTCCATTTGATTGAAATTGTTGCGTTTTCGATGGGGCAAAAAGCAGACGCAACACAAAGCTTAAACATACAGAAACTTTATTTATTTACTGTCACTAATATCAGTAAAAAAAAAATAATAAGAAATATTTCAGACATTTCTGTGGTATTTAAAAATGCTGCAACTGGGGGATAACCCAGAAAAAACCCATTCAACTCACAAAAACTAGTTCGTATGAATTAATTAAGATGTCTAACAAAAAATATTATTGACTAGACAAGAGCTGTAAAATTGAATACCTACCTGATAGAAATATAGGACACTGAATTGATAAGATGACAAAGTCTATTGTAATCATTACAACGTACTCGAAAAGGTTCATGCAATATATAATTATCAGTAGGTCGTATTAGGCTCAGCTAGAGTTTGACAGGTTCTGTTGACAGTTAAGATAGCTATCAAATTTGAATTTATGGTAAAAGTATTCACTTCATTCACAACTTGCCGAGTTTGAGCAACCAATTCGAGATTGCACAATTTAAATGACACAAATTTCTTACTAATTTCAGCAGCCGAATTACGTCACTGTGCAAACACACAAATCGAGCCATTAAGTCAACGATATATATATAAATGGGTTTATATGTATATATATATATAGATGTTTGCCTCATAAGTTAGCCTGTTGCCGCAATCAATGGAAATAAATTAAAACGCCGTTTAAAAAAGAACAAAACTCTATGCAAATGGAGACTTTGAGACCGGTTTTCGAATGAATGCAGCGCAGGTAAAAACAAACGACAGTCATATAGCAAACACACACAGTACTCACAAACTCACACACTGACACACACACACATACACAAAAATCACATTCGCAGAAATGTGTTTTATAAATCAAATCAAAAGCGTTTTAAATGCAAACCAAAATATCATAAAAGTTAATGTGCAACTTGGCAAAGTCCAAGTCCCACAATCCTCCCCTCGCCAACTCCTCTATTTAACTTACCCCTGCGCCGTAGCCAGGCTCAAAATGTGCTGCACATCATCAGTGATAGAAATAGCTGCAAAGAGAAAGAGACAGAGAGAGAAAGTGTGTGAGTGAGTGAGAAGATAAAGTTATTGCAGTTACTTAATTTCTATTTAACGTGCAAATATTTTGCCTGCCAATTTTGATGATAAATGCAATTTATTTGCCCAGCAGAAGCAGCAACAAGCCAGGCCAACTTCCGCAAGGCTAATTTCATATTTTGCGTGTGGTTTCCACATGCTCCCCTTGCACGCCCTCCACCACCCATCCTCCTCTCTCTTATACGAGTTGCTGCAGGGCCATCAATCATACGCCATGTTAGCAGCAGACGCAAAAGGCAAAGGCAAATCAATGCACAGACAGAAAAAAAAACATAGTGTTGTGCTGTGGGTGGCTACAAGCACACACACACAGGCATACACACAGTCACACAGACGTACACACACAGCTCACTTGGAGACAAATAACGCCCACAGCTGCCTCATGGAAAATTGCATGGCAATTGGCAAACAGCGTCGAAACAAATTTTCGCTCTAACTGCAAAACGAAAACAGCAACAAGAAATAGCAGCAGAAATATCTTTACTGCAGCCAAATTAACGTGTGGCCAATTGAGGCATACACTCTACTAGGAGCAGGGCATAACACCTAGTTAGAATACTCAAGTCGAAAGTGCTCGTTTAGCTCTTAACGGTTAGAATTGTTTAATATGAAAATGTAAGTAAGTAATTAAATTCTAGAGCTAGTGTTTCAGTGTAATGCCAAATTATACTGTAAATGAATGTATCTTTTATTTAACATGAACATAAACATTACTCAATGCTCGAATTAATCTTAAAATGATCATTTAGAGTCAGCTTACACATAAACAAAGCAAGACTTCTTAAATAGCAAACAGTTGAGGTCAAAAGTAAGCAATAGAAGGACAGAGTATTTATATTTCGGTGAGGCATTGAATGCAACATTAATTTACTTATTTATAGAGCCACGAGCGTTGTCAGTTTGTAATCAGCGATGTTGTTGTTGTTGCTGTTGTCTTTGACACCAAACAACTTTATAAGTTAATAAAGGAGACCTCGCTCAGTGCCATTTGAGCCATGTTAAGATCTGTGAGCTTTGCATTTCGTTGATTCCTCAATCACTCAATTTGAGCGCGTGTTATGTAAATCATCTTAGCCACAAGCAAAATGTGTTGGCCACAATACTTGTGTGACAGCCTCAAAACACATAGCTGATAATTAAGAGTCATTTTACACACACAAAACACACTCAGAGTGGAAACCAGACACTCGGTTATGTGTGTAATTAGGCTGCAATAACTGCCAAAAACAGCTTGGCAAAAAGCTCTAAACACTTTTTTTTTTGTATAACTTTGCCTTTAACGGCCAGCATCATTTTGGCCAGTTGGCCACATGGCTAACCAAAATCGTGGCCTGGCAAATGATTTTTAATAACTTTGACACTCATTAAACTTAAATTACATGAATTTTGATTACGCACTTTTGCATTTGGGCTCAAGTTAAGCCGCTTACGTTTCCACATATGGCATATAACATATAGCATATATGGCTATAAGGCTATTTGTTTGTTTGTCAATTTGGCTATGTGTCTGTTAGCCCGAACTGTTCAAGTATCCTCTCTTATACTGTATGGTCATTATTCGATGTGTCGTCTGCTAAGCAAATTACGAGCCAGGCTTTTTAAGCCGCTTTTTGTTAAGAAATTCACACAGCTTACACTCTTAAATACACATAAAAATTCCTATATGCACTCGGAAAAAACGCCGTCAAGCTAAGTATACATAGAAAAAACAAACCATTCAAAATAAACACTTTTTTTTTAATTTGATAAATATATAGTTACTTTCTGAATAATAAGCTAAGCTGCCCTTTGCACCAAAAGAATGCCGATTTTCCATGTTTTTTTAGCAAGATTTTTTTCAGAGTGTAGTATTTGATGTGAAATTTAACAGTTAAGGCTAACTGGCATTGTTAACATTTTTATTGTCCATCTAAATGTGTGCCTCAACAAATTCCTCATGGCAACACTTGAAGTAACATATCGGCAGCCTTGTCTTGTCTTGTCGTTTGGACACATTAGTGATAAAAACCTAATCAAATCAAGTGCTTAATTAGTTTTTAATTGATTCAAATTTGTCTCTGCTAACCGCTTGACCCCCCCTGGTGGGCTCATTGAACTGTTTACATAAAAATTGAATCGCTTTGCAGAAGAAGAAACTCATTAAATCAAGTTAAAAGTTCTCATGCAAAAAAAGGGGGGCCATCAGCAACACAAACGATTCTCAGCAGGCGGCGAGGAAGGCGAGGACCGGGGGTTTGGGGCGTGGCTAACTGGTAGATGAAGATGCAGTGCATCGAATTAATAACGCGTTTTATTATTATTGTTGTTGGTGCTTTTTTCACATTAAGTTTGACTCGCAGTTGGACTTGGACTTGGGGGCCTTTTGGCTGTGACCATTTGAAGTGTAACTTCCCCCTTCCCTCTTCTCACCCTACCGGGAAAGTGTTTGCCTTTGTTCGTTTTTCTTCTTCTTTTTTACCCATAACCCTGAACTTGACATTTATAAACTCTTTCCCGCTTTATGGCCATTTGGTCATTTGGCAGCTGCTGCTTTTTCTTTCTTCTCCACTTTTTTCTTTTGTAGTTATCGCTCGTGTCGCGACCATGTGCTAAGTTCTTTTTAATTACCCCCCTCTTGGCGGACACACACGCATACACACACACACGCACCTCCCCCTCACACCTCTTAACACACACAAATGTGTGCTCAGTTCTCAGTTATTGGTGTTGGTCGTAAACTTCTGTTTTATGACCCATTGCGATTTAGAACGTGTTCTTCTCAAATGGAAACGAAAATTGAATGGAAATGCAATCTTGCCGCACCTCCCTAGACTCCGTCGCTCCCCCTTCAGACTACGAGCTTCTATTGTTCCCCCAGTGTTATGTCTTTTTTCTGCATGTTTTTTTACGGTTCACATGTGAGTGTCGTAGCCAAGTCGTGGTAAAAGCCAGGTAGCCAGGCGTTGGCAGGTCTACAGGCTAAATGTTTAAGACTAGTTATTGGCTTTTAAATGTCACGAACTAGAAAACAGACTTATGGTCAGTTAGAGACGGACCTAAGAATAT